CACTAAAGATTAAAGATTAGTTGGCATTGAGGTTTGTTCAATAGTAGCATCTCTTTCAACCTACACGCCTGCATATTATATTTTGCACTAATCTTTTCTTGTTTGGACTCTTCAAGCCGATCATACGATACTTACACAAAGCTGAATGTGGGGCCAATTCATGGTGGACCATACTCCACTAAGAATCTGCGGTTTTTAAATCAAAAAAATTATTTGTATATAAACACTAAGAATCTGCGATTTAAGTGGCTAAATAATCAAACCACTCCTTAGGTGGCCAACAAACTTCCGCCCATTATTAACTACTAAAAAATTGGCCAGGGAGATACGAGATGCCCCACTCGTGGCCAACAACCTAGTACCCGTTTAGATCCTAATGTCACGCCCTGCCCCTCCATGAGTGAATGAAGTGCTTCAACTATATTGAAGGATTTACTAGATAGATTATGCTTTTCGCTTTTGGCTAATCTTACCGTCACTTGAAAATTTTATTGGTTTTAAAAGGGATGGGTACTTATTAAGCGAGCACCAAGAATACATGTCTTTAGATTTCTGATTTTTGGCAATCACTAACTATACCATTTAAGCAAACAAGATAGCAAAATGAGTACTTGTCCAACCTTTTTTTTAACCTCTTACATTACAAAAAATCCGGGTGGCAACTTAATCTGCTCACGACCTAAGTCAAACATTAATGAGTAGAGTTTATGTGAATGGTTATAAGTTATTCGCGTGATCGTTGAATGGTAGTTATGAGAAAGGAGTCTCTTAATATTATTATGATCTAGGCCGACAACCTAATCTAATGGTAATCCAGTTCAATGATCAACACACATGACTCATGTGAATGGTTATCATTTATACCTATAATCATCGAGTTTTAGTCGGTGGTAATCTGACGCAAAATTGTTTGATGCGTTACTTTAATATGGATATTGATTAATAGGATGCTGAAGAACAATCTCTTGGGCTGTGAAACATAGCAACTTAATTAATCGGGGCATAGTTGATTATTGCTTTGATAATCTTGAAGTAATCACGAGAGTTAAGTATCTTTTGCTAGTTTAATTGGTTTAAGCTGTTTGGAGATTAGGGACTTAATATGATAATCCGAGCTTTGTTGGAGTGGTATATTGTTTAACAATAGTGTGGTTTTGCTCCAAAACAGTGGGCTAGCAGCTGGTTTGCATTATTTTATAATCAACATGAATCTTTTTTAAGATTACATTTGATTAGCTCTAAGAAGTACGTGTTAATCGTCGCGTGAGTGCCTTGCTGGATTCTAGGTTGCCAACACATTGAGATATAGAGAGGGGACTTCATGTGTTTATTCTTATTCAAACTTGGAAAACAGAAAAACCCTGACAAATTATAATTATTTATATAAAATAATTGACTATAAAAATTGATGTGATAATTACCAAACAGAAGAAAGAAAAAGAATTGACTTGGAATTTAAGTTCCAATAAAAAGGGATGAAACGCAGCGCATTACCCATTTGACCTATCTTTTCATCTGGTTTTTTTTCGGGAAAACTAAACTAACAAATTGGATTTGAAGTCCACTCAAGTTTTCACCATCTTCTTAATAGAATAAGTGTCCGTTTGGTATATTTGGGGTGATAAGTGATTTTGGGAAGCTCAATCGGTTTAGTAAACTATGATAAAATCACTTATTATTAAAAATTACTGTGAGAGAAAACTATAAGAGAAAGTAGCTAATGATATGCTTTCATTTTCTGACTATGTAATAATCAGTTTCGAAGAGGCGCTGAGTTTAATGATTATGCAACCATCATTTTCTGATTATACATGAATTAGTACAAACAACACTTTTAACAAAAAGTTACCAAACGCCAAACTGTTTTATCTCACAGTAGATTTCTCTCACAGCAAATTTGACAATGATTATTTTCACAGCACAGCAATGCCAAATTAACCCTAAGTGTTCACACTGGCCTGCGCTTCATGACAAAGTGAAAACAAAAGAAAAATGATCACACAGCTGGGCAAACAGAAGGTGGAATTCTCAGCTTGCAATCTCCCAAGTGTAGGTACAGTTGTATAGGACCTAACCTAAGGATTGGCCGACTCATCAATAATTAACAAATAAATCACACCTTTAGCCTCCCTGCTTGGACGGTTAATTAAAAGAAGTTTAAAAGAGCAGCTTTTGTCAGTTGAACGAGATTCATTGTGAAACCAATGGCAGAGCTTGGGCGGTCATTTTGAAGCCAGGGCTATATTTTACTAATTCCAGGAACGAGGAAGGGGAAAAAACAAAAAACATGTACTAGGTAAAATTAATTTGGTCTTGTAGGCAGTGTACCAACACATAGATATGTGAAGCAAAAGGACAATGTACTTGCACAATTAGTTTGTGCATTAGTGCACAGCCAGTGCCAAATTCATAATAACATTCTCATATAAATATATATGTCTTGGTTATTGTGCTAAGAGCATAATCACACCATCATTTATTTTTTTTTAAATTTAACCACGATGGGGTGAATGTTAATATAAGTTTTGTAAATAATTTGGTCGGTTGTTACCACCACTATACAATTCTTTAATGAAAACCATTTTATAGTTACTTATTATAAATTTGGAGGGCCTTAACTTGTATATCAGTGGTCTCAGGTTCGAACTTTCACAATACCTTGATACTTTGTGTGTGAGAAACTCACTCCCTTTTATAGTTTAGACTATCACTTGTAACTCGTGTACTCATTTTAAGAAACTTTTTTGAACCGTTAGATTAACATCAAATGGTAGATGACCATAAATTTCTTAGACCCCTGTGGTCCAAGAGATAATCACTTGTATTCAAAAATAAATTTTGATGTAACATTGGAAAAGTCTTTTTCACCGTATGAACATGTCTGAGCCCATATCTAATATGGGTTCCTTTAACAAAGTTGGGCCTACAATATGGATGGAACCTTTTTTAATCTCTCATGGCTTGGGAATAGCCCTAAAATCTATCAAATTTAGAAGTTGTCGACCCCAAGAGGTGACCAACAATGAATTGAGCCCAGAGCCCATTAACATGATGAAAGCTTGTCAAATATCAAATCTGCACCCACGCGGTTCAACCCAAAACTTTTTGTTTTTTGGGTCAAGGAGGTTCAACCCGACTTATTCGGTCTAAGAATCCATGACCTGCCTTGCTAAATTAAGGTAGTAATTTCTTGATAACAAGAAGTGGTAATACAAATCCTACTCATAAATCCAATGGGGTATAACTCAGTTGGTTGAACCCTATCACCTTCATTTATGTGGGCAGAGGTTTAAAGCCCCAATGCACCCAATAAATATTTGTGTAAACAGCCCCTCCTCCACACGGCTATACTATTTAAATATATTATTTTTATTCAATAATTTGGGAAAATTATGTGTATAATACGTAAATTTTGTGTGTAATATTGAAAATTTTGTAAAAAATAAGTGTATTAAACATAAAAATACATACTTACATGTACAATCGAGTATTGTACATTTTCTTTTTTAAAAACGTGTATTTTACTAAGTCTTCAAGACGTGTACAAAAAATGAATGTATTATTGAAACATACGTACGTGTATAATACGAGTATTAAACGTGAAAAATACTAAATTCGTTTTACGGGTAATAACTCTGAAAAAGTAAAAATTCAAAAAGGGATAATAGAGACTAGGGTAATGGCCCAATAGTAATGGATAATGCTATAAACTACTCTTATCGATAAAAGAAATCGGGGAAAAAAAATTTGTTTTTTTTAAAAGGACCCCAGTATATAGATAAAGCGTATAGCCACTTGGCTATACTATTTATTAAAAATAATTTAAAAATAGCCCAGTATATAGATAAAGCGTATAGCCCCTTAAAACCGCTGGGCTATACTATTTTTATAAAATAAAATAAAAAACCAACTGAGCGATTAGGCGCCTAAGTGTCAATACCCGAGTATAGCCGCATGACTATACCATTTTTTAAAAGTAAAAAATAACCCAAGTTTAGCCGCTCGGCTATAGTCTTTAATTTTTTTTTTAAAGTCACATGTCGAAACAAGTATAGCCACGCGGCTATACTAGTCTTTAAAAAATTTATAAAAACCCAAGTATAGCCAATATAAAAAAGAGGACCTGCCTAGCAACTGTTGCCCCACGTGTCTCGGGTATTTCCTACTCATAAATCATACAACCTATTACTAAATAAATCGAATTAGTTTCATTTTAACACAATGAGAAAATTTGGGAAAATCAAAATTTAGGGAGGTAATATGTTTGAGTAGTTAAAGTGAAATTGATAGAGATGGAAATAGGTGGGTGTTTTTGCTCCCACAGTTAGCTTAATGTTATCAACCAGAGATTTAAACCAAGAAGGCAAGAAACTATAAAGCAGGACACTTGTTGCTTTCATTAAATCTTATATCTTCGCCCACAGATCTGCAAGTAGTTGTTGAGATTTTGCACAATGTGCATGCCAAAGTACACTCGTAGATGTAAAGTTTTGGATAATTGATCAAACGTGGCAAAAGATGAGCTTAGCCAGGTGTAACAGATTGTGTTGGGAGGATAAACCTGATACAGTAGGCCAAACAGGTAAGCTACTACTTCCACCTGGCCCAATCAGATGGCCCCATGTGTTGCCTTTGAAGTTGATAGGATTGACTTGGCTAGGGTTTAGTTGCCCTAATTTTCTTTTCATCTGTGTATAAACATAATTATAACTACATATTCTGTAGAAAATCAAAGAACTTGGCTTTGACAAGAAGAAACTCAAGACAATAGTAATTAAGGACACGGGAAGTCCTATCTGAATAGTCAAAAAAGTGAAGACATAATTGCACAGCAAGTACGAAGACCAGCATGCAATCTTTGCTAGCTATGAGCTGGGCATATCTAGCTGCATCCATCTATTTTTTCCTCATGACCCTATTTAAGGCCTTCCTCTCACTCTTCAATTTTCACCACATCTTCTTCTCCAAATCCAAATTCGAATCGCGTTATTTTGATCACAATGTCCTTCAAGATTTTGATCTCAATGTTCTTCCTCTTGTTGGTTCTCTTGGCTCCTCCTCCCAGTTTAATCCAAAGCAACTTTGAAGGGCTTGTTGTGGCTGCCATAAGGCCATTGGAGCCAATTCCGTCAAATTCAAACCCTTCAAATTATGTGCCTGTTAAAGCTTATAAAAAGGGCCATGGTGGTGCTGCAAATGGTTTTGGAAGTCACATTGTGGAGAGTTGCTTGCCGAAAGGTTCTCGTCGCTCCTCTGCCCCTAGCCACTATGCGAACGGCCAGACATTCGGCTCAGAACTGTGTTCTTCAAGCAAGCGCATGAATAGGCCATGAAGAAAGAGAAAAGCTGTGTGATTGTGTTGTTATGATGAGAATGGAGATGTAAATTTCCATAAGTTATAGGGTATAGATATAATGACATAATGTTCATTAATATATAAAATAAGACAATTAATAAATTAATTATATAGAAACTCTGTGTCCCTTCAAATTCTGTCATTTTCTTTTACCCCTTTACTAATTTGTATTTGCCAGCAGGTTGAATTGATACCATGATAGTAACATGATCTTTTATGTTTTATCAACATGGGGGTTAGATTTGAACTTGTGACCCTTTTCCAACATATTGAAAAGAGAAGCGATACTAGATTAGAAACTAGTTGTTAACATGTGTTTTTTTTTTTTGGGGATCTAGTAATTAGGTGGTTAAATAACTAAACGAATGATTAATAATGTAAGCTCTTAATTAATGACTTTGAAAAGTATCGAGCTAAAAGCAAGATCGCTTTTAGCTCAAATATTTATCCAAGGTACTAGGTTCGATTCCCCATCCTCCCTCCCTCCTTTTCTAATATCACTTGTATGAAAAAGTATATACAACTAGACAATTCTATACCATGATGATGATGGAAAGGTACGCATAGTTAGTTTCCTTGTAATTTCCAGAGCATTTTTGTGCCAACTCTTACCACTGCTTGGATGAGAAATACCACGTGCATTCAAATCAAATATCAAAATTTTAGATCCCGACTAGTTTGACAAATACATTATACATGTACGATGATGTCATTTGTCACATCACTTGGTACCTAAAGATTGAGAAAAATACTCTCAATACTAATAGTATAATTGACAAAGAATTAAGTCGTCTCCGCAGACACGGTCGGAGGTGATCATACAGTAAGATCCTCCAATGTTGTGCTTAGATTAGATAGAGGGCTCGACAATAAGTATCATATTCCCACTAGAGGCATAGTTGGATTGGATGGGAGTAAGATTAGAATGGAACAAGAGTTGGCACAGAGAGGTAGGAAAAGCAAAATTGGAATGACGCTTAATGTGGTTGAGGTTCTCACAACAGCCCCTTATCTGCCGAATCTTCACACTTGAAATGGACACATGAACATCACATTTGGATACCATCGTACCAAATCAATGTGGCTTTTTTTTCTTCTTCCTTTTTTTCATGTGATCAGATCACTGCGCGTATCGGTAAGCAGACTCACATGGATCGATGGTGATGATGTGATAAGGAATATTTGGGTTTTGAAAGTCCCCACTTAAAGCAGATGAGCATCCGATATCTCCAAGAGGGAGGACAGATTTTCTACTGAGATATGAACACAATACTCAACATATTCAGCCATCATCTCACCTTGGCCTAAAATCTGCCACTTAAATGGAATATTATTATAGTCATTGCTTTTTACAATGCATTGGTCGGTGACTTCTACCTGCATTTTGCTCAAGTATAATATACTAGATTTACTAAAATCAAATTCCAGATTTTATATAGTACCGAATTAAGTTGCAAACTTTTCGTAGTAGATTGGATGACGGTGTTTTTTTATATGTTAAAAAAATGAAGATTAGTGAAGCAAATTATTATTTACCAGGGTTTGAATTTGCTCTTCTTTTTGGGCCTCTATGTGCTCGTTTGGTGTCTAGAATTGGATTGGAGAGGATAACTCCCTATATTTAAAGCATGTTTAAGGAAGAAACCAAGTTGAAGGTTAAAGATGGATTACTCATGAAGAAAACTAATCACATCTAATCTCCACAAAATAGTAGGATAACAACATCTTATAAATTATCCATCCTAATTCCACAATGGAAAATCATTCACCTCTACTTTCATTTTCTCCTTCAACATACCTTATATTTAGTGACTTATCCAATCCAATCCAATCATAGCTACCAAATGAGATAGAGAAAGCTTATTTATATCCTGACCAACAAAAAAAGAAGCTTCGTAATAACATAAGAAATTCACTATCCTTTCCTAACTAAACTTTTTTTTTTTTTTTTTTTTTTTTTTTTTTTTTTTTTTTTTTTTTTCAAACAAATATCTTAAAATTCCTTCCTTCTAAACAAAACAAATTATGTTCCCCGGATTATAGAAGGAAGTGTGTAGTTGATTATAGAAACCATAGTGACTCGTTTTTCTAAATGATATAATCTCTTAAATTAGTTCCCTCTCAGATTGCATTGTTAAACCAGCCTTGACCGAAAGGAAACTTCCATAGATACCAAATTTGACACTGTTTGTTTCGTAGCAATTAATGGCAGTGGAAATTTGAGAGCTGAAAGAGTGTAATGTTAGCAGAAAGGGATGGAATTTGGAAAGGAAGAAGATGAAATTTTCTGACATAAAGTTGGTGAGTTTTTTTACGTCTTGTGTATTGATTAAGATAAAAAGTTCATTAAAACATATTTAAATTAAATAGTTCTCTAACATCAATTATTATATGTATGGAGTCTTACAAAATTGACATTTTGGTTGAAAAATGTTTGGGTCGTCACGGGTGATCAGGATCAACTTTGTCTTTACCACCAATCATATCTTGTCATGTGTCTAATTTGCCCAATCTTCAAAAATATAAAATATATAAACTTTGATTGTGTTCGCGATCACAATTTCTTCAATTTTTTTATTTTTTTGTCAACATTAGAAAGGAAGAGACAGACACGGGAGGTTGAATCCATGACTACTTAGAAGCACATCAAAAATTTGAGCCAATTCAATGAACACCCTATTAATCACAATTTCTTCATTTACTTGGGCATGTAACAACTGGAATAATTCGTTTAATAAATCAAACTAGAATGTAATCTAATTAAGTGTTCATAGAGTCTAGCTCAAGCGGCTTAATATTGGATTGAAATTAGTTTAGCAACATGTGAGCATGAAATTAGATTACTTTTTAAATAAATAAATAAATTAACGAGAGTCGAACTTTTGTTGTGAAGTCAATAATTTAGTGTACTAAAATTAAAAATTCTCAGGCTAAAAGAAGCTTTCGATTCTAAAATCAGTCGATTGTCGACTTGTGAATCTACTCACTCTGGCTCCCATTGGAAGATAGCCCATCTGGTCACCAACACCAGATTAATAAAAATTAAAAACTAAAACAATATTCAAACTAATAGTAATTCAATAATGACAACCTCGTTATATTCTCTAACTGCTATCTTAATAACAACCAAAATAATAGTACTAACAAATAAACAAATAGATAATAATTTCCAAATTTAAAATGGAAGTACCCGTGTGCAAGTGGATGACAGCATAGGCTATCTCTCCAAATGACCTCCAAACCCTTGTTGGAATCTTACCAAATCTCCCTAAGCAGATAAATACACCATGGACAAACTTGTCTTTTCAACAAAGGGCCACCTAATCTTTAAGTCATATCTTTCTTCAAGGACTTTGCCAAATCAAACTTATAAAAGCGCACTCCCTCGTCCCTCCCTCCTCAGTCTTCTCCACTAAACAAATCAAAGACTTTCTCTCTCTCTCTCTCTCTCTCCCTCACTATAATTCAAGCTCCATATAAATACACAGAGCCATTCAAAGCTCAAGAAGAAGAAGAAGAAGAAGATATGAAGCAAAGCCAAGGGCAGGGCCACGTCAGCAACAGCAACTTCTGTTGCAGGCATGTGAGAGAGCCATGTAGGTCATTTGGGCGCAGATGCAGTATGCTGGTGAAGGAGCAAAGGGCAAGGTTCTATATTCTCAGGCGATGTGTCACTATGCTCCTTTGTTGGCATGAGCGGGGTGACTTATAATTTTTTTGTTGTTCTTTTTTTTTTGTATCCATTATATCATATATATATATATATATATATATATGAGTGTACATATGTATATGTATTATAGCATACACCTCATGAGAAGAAGAAGAAGAAGACCATGCTAAAAAAAGGGGCCAATTTTATATGTTTCAATTTTGTTTAATAGCTGAAAACTTAGTTGGTTTCCTCTCTCTCTCTCTCTCTCTCTCTCTCTCTCTCTCTCTCTTTTAAGAAGCTTGGAGTTAATTAGGGGGAATTGATTCAAAGTTCAATTGAGGGTTTTGTTTGAGGATCATGGGGTGGTTAATGAATTAAACCTCTAAACTCAGGTTGGTTTTGGATTTCTCTTGTACTCTAGATCATAGAGGGATTTCCTTGTTCTTTCAATTTTCTTAGAATATTTTTTATTTTGGCCGCGAGGCTGAGGCCCATGACTCAGGAGGTAGATATTTTCCTAAAATTAATGGGATATCTCCCTTCTAATTAAGCTCCCATCATGTCTGCTGATTTTTCTTTTTTCTATAATGACATAATATTAGTATATTTCTTTTCTTTTTTTCTTTTTCAGTGGGTTATGATGAAACTCATGCATCCCTTACCAAATGCCGTTTCCCTCTAAAGAAAAAGATGGTCAATGTGTAGGAAGATAACTCTTCTCTTTGAAGGAGACGTGTAATTATCACCTAAATCTATATCCCAACCGAAAAAAGTAAACTAGATTACAAATTCCAAACGTCTTATTACTAATCTTGGCTTAATCTGATCTTTAATGGTTAATAATCCTCTATATCTAATGAGATTTACAAGTACGGATTTGGTCTCTAAACTGACGTGACAAGTTATGTATGGATAATGATATATGAATCACAAATGTACTGTTCATAATGAATGTTATGTCGTTAACAACTGTAATTGTTATATACGTGTACGTAATTGATTGGTCACTTATCAACAATTTTGATTTGACAAAAGTTTTAATTTTTTTAAAGTTTGCTTTTCTCAGTTATTGTGGCCAAATGCGTATTAAAAAATTTAATTGCTGAATAATGGAATAAAATCACTGGAATCACAAACTAAAGACTTGGAAATATCGCCAAAACCTTTTTTTTATAGGAAAATCGGAAGGAATAAAGGATGGGAATCGGGGAATATGGGAAACGTAAGTCAGACGGCGGGACATGGTACGGTTCTATCCACCTTTCCCCTCGTGCGGCCCCTTTTCACTTTTTCACTTTTTTTTATTTACTTTTTCACTCCCAGGTACTGGGCCCTAATAAGATCATCTTATAAGTTGGGATCAAGTACTCTCGAGTAATATTAAAAATGCTTAATTATGTACATGCTCTTTGTACTTTTAAACTTATATCAGATTATCACATGTGTTTGCAAATGTCTCAAAGTACCTCCCAACCTTTTAAAAACTGTCTCACGTTACCTGTTTTGTCAATTTTTGTGACGTTCTGAACAGTTGTTGTTACTGTTCGAGAACAGCAGCCCCTCACCTTTGTTACTGTTCATCTGAATAGTTTTTGGGCCGCCATCTCCTCCTCCGGCCACCTCAAGAGACGACATGGGTATCAAAAGAACAAGCACGTTGTCCTCTACCAGCCTCACATCTCAGCCGCTGCCAACTGCCGTCTGGATCGCCAGAACAAGCAAGAAATTGGCCGATTTTTACCCAAAATCTTCATCGCTCGTTTGGGCGATTCCTAGCACCATTTGCTTTGATCCAGGTATGGTTTTTCAACCTCTCGAGCTGTTCTTACTGCTAGTTGTGTTGGTTAGGAGAAATTTATGAGTTTTGTAGGGTAAATAAGCGATTGAAAATCTGCCAGTTGGGGAGGGGCTGCTGTTCTCGAATGGGGGGGAAGGAGGAGAAAAAAAGAAGAAAAAAAAATTGGGGCCCAACGTTCGTAACGGAACGTCAAAAAAACTGACGGAACGAGTAACGTGAGACGGTTTTTTAAAAGGTTGGGGAGTACTTTAAGACGTTTGAAAACACATGTGGTAATATGAGATAAATTTGAAAGTACAAGGGGCATGTACATAATTAAGCCTATTAGAAATAGTAGTGAAAATAAACTTTGAATTGTGATCGTAATATTGCCTCACGGTGTTTATTAATTCAAATATACAAGGAAGTTTGTAGCTGAAGCGATGTTTAAGTTCGAATTCCCTCTTCCCAATATCGATTTATTTTCAAAGGGATGCTTCCATTGATTCCTTTCCTACTTATCTTTGTTTCATGTGGCTATTGGCACATGCCTATAAATATGATCATATTCTTCATCATCAAAACTTGGATGGATCTAGGGTAATTGCTAGCATCATCCAAAGAATTAAATCATGGGGCATGCAATTGGTTCCATTGATGTGGGGCCAGTTTTAATGCATGACACGTGCAGGTGAAATGAAGGGCCTGATGAAGGCAGGGTGTCACATCTGGGGCAGGCATTAGTCCGTGGAATCATAATGGTCTTTGATCCCAATGGGGAAAAGAGTGTTCAATTGGCTTCACACATGCAGCATTGCCTCACTAGTTAATGCATGTGACAATTACTCCACCAATTGGCAATTGCATATGCTATGGTGAATTTTATGTCCAATCCCATTTTCCATGAAGCAGAAAACTTTGAACACTTAAGTTGGCAAACATGAATGCAATTTGGTAAGTTTATAAATTGGGACTGGGAAGAAGTCTTTACCCTAGCTAGGTGGTGCTCTGCATTGATCAGTCTCTCGTGGGCGTGTGACGCTAATACACAGTTGTTAATGAGTACAAAACTGCAGAATAACTACATGACTCTTATCTTTTTATTTCTCTTATTACGTGATAGGTTAAGTATTGAGAGAAATAAAAAGAGAATAACACTGAAACGGGGGGTAGGGAAATACTTTTCCTGATCTAAATGACTCCATAGGCCATATGCATGATTCATGGTCACCTTTTCCTCTTTCTACTAGCTATGCGCAATTGGAGGGTTAGGTGTCGGTCGCATTTGCTATCAAAGACTATGAAATATGAATGTAGCCTGCAAACAAGTATAAAAAGGAAAGGACCCATTTGCTTTCAGTCTTCAATGAGGTTGTGCCCCTTAAAGTGGGTTAGTCTAATCAGCAACTCCAATATCCCCAATGACACGTTACATCTCCTTGCGGAATATCAATACTTACTTACATGTCCCCATATATAGTCTCATTATTTTCATTTCACCCATCATTTAGTTATCACAAAGCCAATTCTCCAGACAAATTCTTACTACTTTAGTTTATGTAGGCCTTCTTGTTGTTTCTATATCTTCTCATCTTAAAATGCTGCACAATTGTGCTATTTTTCGAATCAACTAACTCTTAGTTCATTAATAGTTATCTTTATGTTACGAGACGTTTGAAATTTGAAATTCTTATTTTTAGTCAATAATTATATATATATTGTTTTCTAATCGTTTTGGAAGCAGTCCTACAAATTTGCTATCAATCTGACACTTGTTGGACTGGAGTAAGAGGGTAACAAGGAACGTGAATAACGCTAATTAAGTTAAATTAGAAGACATGATAAAGGAATAAAGATAATGGCTTGGACAGGATAGATGTTTGCCCATATGACAAGACAATCATCCTACCAGGCATTATGTGGTATCTAACGTGAAATGGCTGAGTATATGTCCACATACAATCTCCCAATTGAGTTAGGCAAAATGAGAGCTTGAAAGTATGTGTATATGTGTGTGTGAGGTGGGGTGGGTGATCTTGTCATCACCTCAGTGTGGTTGAAATCTTATTGTCTTTTCAATTCCTTTTCAATTTCCAACAATTGAAAATTAATAGGTCATTTGTAGTTCACGTGATTAAACGTTAGCGTTCAATTTCTTTGCATCACGTGGCCTTGCGTTTAATTTCCATCTCCTGCATTATCTCTTGTACTAAACGCAAGAATTAAATATTGAAACCGAAAAAATAAAATAAAAATGCAGATATGTACTAACTAGATCTGGAAATGCTAATATAGCACTCCATTATTGTTGAGGAGTTGTTGGGTTCCACCAACAACAGTTTAAAGATTGTAATCTTAAACTAGGAAGGAGAGACTATAAAAGCAAAATGTCTTACTAGCTGAAAAATCAATGACGTTGCCCAAAAAAGGGACCCCAATTATTCCACTTCAGGTGGGATTGTCCCCTAGGAAGTTGCTTAGTCTAATCACGACCTCCAAATATCACCAAAACATGCATGTATTTGCTTATTGCCAACCTCACATTTCTGAGCTGCTATAACTTAGCCTAATGCTGATGGGATATATCCTTCATTCCTTTGCACTCCATATGCTTTCCCCTTGGTACATACATAGCTATAGCTAGCTAGGACTTAGATTCATATATATCTGGTTTGAAACCAACCATGATGAATTTGGACTTCATCAAATCAAATTCCTAATTCTTTAGACTTTTTAGAAGCCCTAAACTGTATGTTAATTGGGCCAATGAAGGATATGTGGGGATCTCTAACTTATGCTTTAGAATTGGACAGTCAACATAAACTCTAGGCCGATGAAGTTTCTATTACCACATTTCAATATGAGCCCAATGGGCAGGGCTAGAGTTATTATTATCAGGGTTTTTTTTTCTTTCCGGAACATGCATAATTTCATTAATAAAGAGGTAAATACAAGAGATGTACAAGAAGAAGACACCTCAAATGGATGTTCTTGCATACAATAAATCCGGACTATTACAAATTCAAGCTCAACTCACTAAGAGTTGACAGATAGAGGATCAAGAAGACTCTTTACAGCACCAGTGCTATAGAGAGACCATGAGAACAACTAATTCTGCATGAACATAGAACTAGAAGCACTAAAAGTGAAAGGGCCTTACCACTCAACATCCACTTGGCAAAAGAAGGCCACATCACCTCCGGCATCCCACATGATCTCACACCACCCATTATGAATGATCCATCTAGATCTAGTAACTTTACCTCCTTAATATTAAGGATTTTAAAAGCCAGTCCGATTTATTAATCGAAGGGGTTGGTTCCAGGAGAAAATCCCTGGAACCAAGGGGCGTTGTAGAGAAGAGAGACCAAGAAGAGAAGGAGGGAGAAAAAGGGAGAAGAAGCGTTGAAAGACTGGAGTCTCCTCCTGATGACAGTAGTTTTAAATTTCAGGGCTAGAGATTAGTAGATTAAAACCCCATATAACAAGGTTGGTAGCAAAACCAGCAAACCTTTTGCGTTGGCAACTTCGTATAAACCCACCTTCCCCAATTTTAGCCTTCAACACCTTCCTAATTCTTAAGCCCTTTTCCTTTGTCATCTTCCCCATCTATGCTTGTTCCCAATAAATTTTTTAACAAACATTAAGAGTGCAATATGATAAACTGGAATTCTGAATAATATTAAGACTCGAGTGCATATGTGGGTTATGTAAGTTGATTAGGGCAGTGAGTCTGCCCTCTTATATTTAAGTTTGAATTCCCCTTCCCTTGCATTAGATTATTTGTACATTAAACTATCATTTGTATACATTTTTTATTTAAATGATGCTATTTTAACTCACATGTTCTGTTTCCTCCCCTACTATATAATAACAAAATATTAATTACATATTTTTTATTGTGTTCTATTTCCTCTAAGGACCTAGGTTAAAAAAATTAATCCAACTCTACAGCCTGACCTTTCAACCCCATCTAAATCATGCAAGTCCAACAGTTTCAAAATTTCATATAGGTAAGAATATAGCAAAACTGGTTTTGTTGTTGTTGTTTTTTTTTTTTTTTTTTGTGTGAAAAAATTAGTTAAATATACTTGGTATACAAGTAAATATATAAATATTTTTATAACGTATGCGAGCAGGAAATTTGGAATATTTAAAAACCTAGTACGTTTTGTAGCTTATACGTATAAAAATACTCCTTCTTGACAAAGTTGCAGTTTGTACCAGCCATTAACGACCTTAGACTTTTACCTCCAATAAACTCAACCATCTTTGCAAAATCACTCACCTTCCCTCTACTCCCTTCTTCTCCATATAAATCCTCGACCCACATATACATACACCTCCACACGTGCACCAATCATTTACAGCTGCATATTCAACAAAATACCAGAGGGTCTCTGCTCGCAATGGGTTGCTCTGCCTCCCTTCCAGGTAAATCCGCGTGCAAATTGGATCCGTTCGAGCTTTAAATTCTAGGGTTTACTGTTTCAATCGAAATTTTCATGTGGGTGCTGTTATTTTGGTCTGTTTCCTTGATTTCTAAGCTGAAAGAGATTGAATTGACTAGTGAGAATGGATTGTTTGTTTATTTAGGTTTTGGGTTTTCAATATTGCTTTGAACTGTGATTACCCTTTTGAGGTCTATTATTTTTCTTCTCGTTTTGAATTTTGATTGAATGGGGATTATTTGCTCAGATAGGAGTTCTTCTGGGCGGTTGGTCGGGCCAAATTCCGAAAACGGTGGCGCTTCTGATGCCAAAAATCTACGCGTGAAGGTATTTTATAGGCTAAATTGATGCAGTTAATGCTGTTACTGTCACTTATTTCAAGTTGAAAGGGTATGATGCTTGGTTCATTACTAATTTCTGATAATCTGAAAGTTATTGTTGGTGTGGAAAAATGCTAACTTGAGCTTTGTAAGTTAACAGATATGAGTAGTGTGTTTTGATACACCACTGATTTTCTGTATATACCTAAAACATGAGAGAAATGCATCCCCAACAACTTGCAATTGAGAAATATGGTCTGGACGTTTATAGAAATGCATTAACATATTGGCAGACTTATAAATTTTCTATGGAGTTTAGTCAAGCAAAGGACTGCAGTTAAAATATAATAAGATGCATTTAGTGTTATGATTGGAAAAAGCTTCAAACTTCTGCTTTACAGTTTAAGAGGATTCTTCTTATTATTGTATTTAAGATGCTCATTATGATCTGCATAAAACATTTGACTGATTGCAACTAACATCTCGTTCTTGTCACTCTTCAGCTAGTTTTGTTGGGTGATTCTGGCGTTGGTAAAAGCTGTATTGTTCTGCGTTTTGTTCGTGGTCAGTTTGACCCCACATCCAAGGTAAGGAACATGTTACTGTTATATCATAGGTTAACCACAAGTAGGTCTCATGATTTTTACTTTTGAGAGAATGTTTGGTTTATGTCCATGTATTTGGGTTTCATTATCTAGCCTTTCTCTTAAGCTACATAGAAGTTATTATGATGATCATTTTCTCAAATGTGATGGATTTTTATAAAAAAATTCAGGTGACAGTAGGAGCTTCATTCTTGTCACAGACGATAGCTTTGCAAGATTCTACAACAGTTAAATTTGAAATATGGGACACTGCTGGCCAAGAGAGGTATTTTTGCCGAACATGTATAGATATGTGAACACTAGTTTAAGACTTGTGTATAATGGTTTATGGTGAATTTCATCCTATTTTTTTTTTTACAAGACATCCACCTTTGCCCCCTCCTTTACTTTTCCCTGGATACTTTCTCTTGCAATCTAATCCTTTTGCAGCAGAATATTGATTATTGATATCTCCTATTTAGGTATGCTGCATTGGCCCCCCTTTACTATCGCGGTGCTGCAGTTGCAGTGATTGTATATGATATAACAAGTCCGGAATCTTTCAACAAAGCGCAGTATTGGGTTAAGGTATTTTTTCTGAAGGTCACAAAAACATTTAACTACTTTTAAAAAAATATTTTATTTTAAAATTTTAGGTGTAAATTCTTTTTCTTTTATCCGTAGGTTCTTGTCTCCACATTTTAGCATGTAATGTAACAGGGTTGACGGAGGTCAAATAACCATTGAGTAATGTATGAGGTTACAAAATCGGTATCTAAGATTTTTTTACCTCATGGTTGAAGTGTTAGTTATATAGTCTACAGCCAAAATCTAAATTCTAGATAAATATGTAATCGTTATGACAGATTTTTACATGGAATGTCAAATTTTTTGAGATTGTTATTCTGTAACTTATTATCACAGTAGCAAAAGTCATGGTTTTGTTTTGTTCTATGTAACTTTTCTCTGTAAGATTTAAACCCTTAGGATAAGTTTTCTGTTGGCTGACTAAGAAGCTCTAAGGAAGATTTTTGTTGATGCTTAATGATCCGCTTGATATGTGGAAAAAAGTACTCAACGCATTAGAATTTCTACGCTCTGGAGGAAGAACAGTTGACTGTATGGCACTAGCAGCTAATAGTTGGATGTTTGCATGTCAATGTGCATTGGGGAAGCTTTATTTTTATAGAATGTACAACTTTGCCTTGATAATCTGCCTTGATACGTGGATTTACCAAAGTGGATTTTTGTTTAAACTACACCTATATTATTTTTAAGTTTTTAAGAACAATTGATAAATATTAGCTCTCTACAGGAGCTACAGAAACATGGGAGCCCTGATATTGTCTTGGCCTTGGTCGGTAACAAAGCTGATCTTCATGAGAAACGTGAAGTTCCTGTTCAAGTGAGTTCATTACCCCTCAATCTAACGCATCTTCTTTCCATGTATTTGCAAAAGAGATATTTGTATGACTAAATAAATATTTCTTTTATTGGTGAAGGATGGCATTGAATATGCAGAAAAGAATGGAATGTTCTTTATTGAGACCTCTGCAAAGACAGCAGATAATATTAATCAGCTGTTTGAGGTAAGCTTAGTTACATTTATGTTTTGATAATAGGATTTTTCTGTTGTTGGCCATTCAAATGTAATGAAATTACCAGGCGAACTCGGTATATACTTCAGATTACTACCCATGTAAACCAGAAATGTTAAATGAAATTTTAAACCCTTAAAAGGATATTGCGGACTAGCACGTACGCTTCTCTTGACACGATGCCATCAAGGCTTAGAACATCTTAAATCTTCCATAAGTCCAAAGCTCATCTACCAGTTGAAATGCTGACACTGTCTTGTTTTGGCAGGAAATTGCCAAGCGGCTACCCCGTCCAGCCATTTCGTCAACGCAGAATCCATGAAAGCCAATTAATTAAAGAACTTGTTCATGTTATGGAGACCTAGTTACGTTTTTTCAGTTCTCAATTTGTGTATATTGTGAAATAGTCTGTAACTTTTGCTTTTCAATGGGCTATGGGTTTCAACCGATAGTTTCAGGTCGAAATTCATGATCATAATTGGCACCAAGCAATAACCTATGAATGGATGCGAACCCACTGTATCGTAATTCACTAAAGAAATAATATTTATGAAGTTAACAAAAACTTTCTCAGGCATCAAACCCTAACCATAAGCCTACTAAGGAGTAGATACTTTCTCTTCTTTTCCAATGTAGGACTCAAGTTCATGTATTTCAATCAAACTCTGACAAGTAGTTGATATTATTGAATCACGTTGTGACTTGGATTTAAGTTTTGAGGCTAAAATCCATTTTTGGAATACTAAAATATTTGGGTACTAAAACTAAATTTTTAGGATTTTATTGAAATATTTAATACTAATTATTCACTAAAGAAATAATAATTGAAACATAATCACTAATGAAAGTATTTAAATAAGGCTAAGATATTATTTAGTTTGGGTAAATCCAAGTCTCAAACGAAAATCCTAGCTTCCGAGCTTGTTCCAAAACCTTTCTCAAGCCTCGGAACCTAACCATAAGCCTAACATAAGCCTACTAAGGAGTAAATACTTTATTTAAATTTCAAGGCTAAAATCTATTTTTTGGAATATTAAAATATTTGGGTGCCAAAACCAAATTTCTATGATTTTTATTAAAATATTTAATACTAGTTATTTACTAAAGAAATAATAATTAAAAGATAATTACTAATGAAAGTACTTAAATAAGGCCAAGATTGATTTAATTAATAAAAAGAAAATTTCAAAAAGAACTCTTTAAGAGTATAGCCGCGGCTATACTCTATAAATAGAATTTTTAAGGTACCGCTGTTCGGCTATACTCTTGAAATAGAATATTTTAAAAGTATAGCCGCTCGGCTAAACGCTATAAATAGAATATTTTAAAGTTATAGCCGCGCGGCTATACCCTTTAAATAGCATAAACTTTGATTTCTCTTTTTTAATTACTTTATTTAGTAGTTATGTTTTAACTATTATTTACTTAGTGAATAACTAGTATTTAAATATTTGATTAAATAATTTTAAAATAAAATAAAATAACCATTTATTAAGTAATATAATTTATGAAGTTATTTAAAATATTTAATTATTTACTAAAAAAATAATTATTAAAACCTAATTACAGATGAAAGTAATTAAATATGGCTAAGATATTATTTAATTACTAAAAATAAAATCTAAATAAGGCCGTGCTGATATACTGTTTTAAAAAATAAATAAAAAAGTTGCATGTTGCATGTTGGAAAATATACAATTCAATTAGGAACTAAATACATATTTCTAGTTATCCTAATTACACTAGGGTTTATTGTTCCCCGACTTTTTCTTTGACTTGCGGTACACTTTTATATATATAGAGTTTTAGTAAATTTAGGTTTTAGCCAAAAAAAAATTTCACTTCTAGAAAAAGCCAAAGCTTTTTCAAAAAAGACAGAAAAACCTCTCAACTTTTAAATCAAAGACATGCAAATGTAAAGGATTCCTTAAGAAACCCAAAAATAAATAAGGGCAATTTTGTCCATTTTGGCTTCTTTTACAAAATTTCTCTCTCCTTTGTGTTTTTCCAAAGTCTCCCGTTAGTTTTTGGTGAGTTTGTGATAACTATGCATTTTAAGACTAAGAAAAAACAAAAAAAAAAAAAAAAAAAAAAAAAAAAAAAAAAAAAAAGAATTAATTATTTTAAATCCTATGGAAGTTCAAAAATTTTTGGTTTTCAAGAAAGACAATCCTTGTCGAATTAGGAACCTTGTTATTTTCCAAATATAGTACTTCTTAGTTACGTCTCTTTCTCTTAGAACTTTCCATAACCTAACCATACGCACTTGCTTCAAAAGTTGATGAACACCATGTCGTCGTCGGTATCAAAGAGTAGGGTTGTGAGGTTGAGGAGCGCAAACAATGAAATATTTGAAGTAGAAGAAGCAATTGTAGCACTGTCCGAGCCCATCAAAAACCTCATCGACGTCATCGGTGTCAACCATGTGATACCAATGCCCGACGTGAGGTCCAAAACCCTAGCCATGGTGATAGAGTGGTGCAAGCACCATGCTGCTTCTGATCAGGGCCCTAGAAGAAACACTGAACTCATCAAAGAGTGGGAGGAAGAGCTCGACCAAGCTGACGTCGTCATTGATCTCTTATGCACTGCAAGCTTTCTCTGCATCAAGGACTTGCAAGATCAAATGTTTCAAAGGGTTGCCGATTTGATTAAAGTGAAGACACTTGAGGAGATTTGCGAATTGTTTCACGTCAAAAACGATTTTTCTTCCTAGGGTTAAATGTTAGTTTGTATTTGGCAAATTTTTTTTCTCAGTTACAAAATTTTGAATGTCATCTTCGATTATTATTATTCTTGAATGTCATCTTAACTACTCGACCAATTCCATAACTAAACCTGTCGTCAAATTTAAAGCTTCATTAGAGCACCTCCAGCGGGAGGTCCCAGTTCGGACAAGAGGCCCCTCAAGTCCCCATTCGTGTTTTCAGCGCCCCATTCTTTTCAGAGCAAGAGATGGGCTCCACCAACCTGGGCAAGCCCAAGGTCACGTTTCATCATTCTTTTTTTCCACAGTTCATTAGTGATTTTTCGTATTAAAGCATATTTTAATTTTGTCCAATTCAATTGGTAACAAGGGTAAGGTGAATAGTTAGTTGGTTCAGTTACTCTATTACATAGAAGAAAGGAAAGAAATATATCATTTCAACCTCAAAGGGAAAGCAAATTGGAAAAGGCAGTTGGACGGTCCAGATCGAATTGGAAGCATGAGAGGGACCCGCGGATATCCATGTGATGCGAAGCTCCACCGGCCACCGTCCATTTTCCATCAACAAAAACACATGAAATAATAAAATAAATACAAATTTAAAAATAAACTGTGTAGTTTTCCCCTTTTCTTTATTTAAAAAAAGAAAGAATATAGAAAACGAGTGCCATGGCGCCTACCTAACTAACTTCATGGCCGCTGATTGGCTGGCTGTTCCACGTCAGTGAGATCGCGACACCGTTTTGTTATTAGGCGCCGGCGAGAACCTGTTCTCTGCCACGCGTAGTTGACTGAGCCCCTGGTGGCTTCTTTGTCTTTGCTGGCTTAGCTTAGCTAGCCGGTTGTTTTAGGTCATGCATTCTCAATAAAAATCACAATAAATAATTGACTTAGTTTTTCTAAAACTTTATTAATTCATTTTGGCGGTGACTTAAATACAAGTATTTTCATGTTAGCAAAAGTATAGGTTATTATTATCAATTGACGGCCAAATTTAGTTGTGTTCACTCTTCCCTTTTGTTTTTGTTTTTGAAATAGAGCGAAATCAAGAATTAATTTGTGGTTATGTGTGAAGACAGATTCTCTATCACTCTCTTAAAATATATTATTAACATGTTTATAGTTTTACTTTAAATTATGATATACCAAAATTATAATTAACATGCAAAGCTCACAACATTAGAACTGATTACAAACATTCAATTTCTAAAACAATTACGTATCCTTTTAAACTCATATTCTGTTTGTAGATAAGAAATTAACTTGATCTTTACACCATGAATCACATTATTTAACCCAGTAATGCAACATTTTCAAGAACCTAGTAAACTTTGAATTGAACTTTGTATTTGAAAAATATAGATTAATCAAAGAATAACCATAGTGGTAGGTAGGACAATTAGTTTATAAGAAATGAAAACGGTAGAGCAATATGAGATTTTGGCTTGTGTTGAAGCCGAGTGCAGCCAAGCCGTTTGGTTGATTTATAGATAAATCTTGGCCGTTCTATTGGTAATTAAGCGCGGGAATTAAGCTAAACACTCTAGGAGGGAGAACTTGGTTGGTCGACAGAGTTAGTTTGCGTGAAAAGGTCAAAAATACCCCTTTTCTATTACCTATCTTTACTATTTTGTTTTATTTTTATTTGGTGCTAATTAAGGATTCAGTGGATTAATCCAAGGATTAGCTTCCCACTAAAAGTTATTTTTCTCAATGTTCAACCACTAATTCATCTTAAAACTTAATATCAAGTTTGATTAGTTGTTTTACAATGGGAAAATCCCTAATTGGTCTAAAGGGCAATTCTGTCACAAGGCAACTATAAATTTGGTCACAAGTGATCTCATCTGACCTCCTTGAGCTCCCTCAACAGTCAACTCTAAACCAGGATATTAAGCAATGACTTCTTAACCTACACTGAAAGCGATAATGGATTTCAATCTCATTACTTTTAATTAATAAAATAAATAAATAATTATTAACATTTTATTTTTATGTATTTGTGTGTTTAAATACTAAGACAATTCTCTCCTTCCATTCAGAGTCGGACCCAGACACACCAAACTCCAACGTTTCTCATTACCATATATATACAGAGAATAAAAGCTTCTTCTTCCAGCAGCAGCACCATCCATGGCGTTTATTTTCACGTTCCAATTTTGCCCCTTTCTTCCTTGACGTCGCCATCCCAATCCCAATCCTCGAATTTCTCTATCTGGGTAGTCTTCATCTCCCTCAAGACTTCCACTTTCAAGTTGTGCTAGTCCAATTTGCCTCTCAATCGCACATGGGTCCAACAGGAGAAGATCCGAGAATCTCAGTACTGAGTCGACTAGCCGAGTCGGTGAAGACGATTTCCGAGTTGCCCGAGTGCCGGAACGCGTTCAGGAAGTTATACGGAAACTTCGTACGAAGAGTCAAGCTTTTGAGTCCTCTGTTTGAGGAGTTGAGGGACAGTGATAAAGCGCTTGGTGTAGACGAGGTTGTAGCTTTAGAATCGCTGGGAGAGGCTTTGAATTCGGCTAAGGAGCTTATCAAGTCGGTCAACCAAGGGAGCAAGCTTTATCAGGTACCGTTCTGTTTGGTTTGTGTTTTCTGTTTTCTGTTTGGTTGCCAAGAAAATGAAGGAAAGGGAAGGAAAACAATATAAAGTTTGGTTTTTGAAGCATTTGATCTAGCTTGCAATTCTAAGGAACTTCAAAGTTCCTAGTTTCTGGGAACACATTATTTAGCCTAAGAGCAGTGTAAATGAGGAAACCATGTTAGTGTTGGAATATACTATATAGTCTTAGTTTGATAAGGATTAAGAAAGTTTTCACTCCTAATGTATTGCGCAATTTATGTCTTGTTTTTTGGTTATCAGTCTTCAAGCATGATTTTTCATTAAAGGAAGGAGCAGAATGCTAAAATGATTTTTCATTAAAGGAAAGAGCAGAATGCTAAAATGAAAATGCTTGGTTTTTTGAGTTGTGATTTCTGTTTCTCTTTTCTTTCTCAGGGTTTATTTTCTGTCTATATTCAGAAAAGAAATGAAAATGTAAACAATAGTTTACTTTCTGAACTATTGGGGTCTCTTACTCTTCTCTGTTTATAATGATCAAGTAATGTACTACATATCGTGAGTGAATACTGAATGTAATGATCAATTATTGTACCTTTTGTTTTCCGTAAACAATAGTACAATATTTGTAGTATTACAAATTTTGTACAAGACTCCAATGCTTGTGTCTTCGTGCTTTCATTTCATCAAATTCTTATTGAAAATGTAGAAAGTAATATCAACTTAGAAAGCTGGATTTTATATAGTCTTCTCTTATCTGTCTTTGACATCCTCCAAGCTTGATTTTATCAGTCACTTGCATACTTGAACTGTGATCTAGTAGCACTAGATATGACATGTTATTTTCTTGAATAGTGCTATTGTTGATATGAAACGAATATGAACATCAATAAAATGTTTTCTTTACCAAGATGTATACTGGTCGCATTTGTTGTATGACTCCGTGCCTTGCAAACATATTGGTATATTTAAAGGTAGACAGTGTTTTCTTTATGTAACAGGCTTTGCAAAGGGACAAGATTATTGATAAGTTTCACCAAATGACGGTAAAAATTGAAGCAGCATTGAGTAAAATTCCTTATGATAAATTTGATATGTCAGAGGAGGTTTGTGAACAGGTACTTTTACAATCTACGTTTACATTTAAAGAAGGTTATTATCAGAAATGACTCACCACTGATCTTTTATCTCTTTGCTTTTCTATTTTTTATGCTCTGCTTTTCTGCAATGTGAGAGAAAGCTTTCTCTTTATGAACAAATCGTAAAACGAAATAAGTAGAGCCAAATAGTGGATTATGAATTTTCAAAGTATTTAACAAGAGGTATTACCCTTTTGAAATTTCTTTCAGATTGAACTAGTGCATGCTCAATTTAAAAGAGCAAAAGAAAGAAAAGACACCCTGGACTCACAACTAGAGATGGACTTATCCATAGCGGTGGGAGACAATGAGCCTGACCCTGTAATAATAAAAAGACTTTCAGAAATGCTGCACCTCAGAACCATCAACGATCTAAAGAAAGAGTCACTTGCTTTCCATGAATTGGTTATCGCAAGTGACGGAGCTGTAGGGGACCACTTTGAAAAGATGCAAGCTCTGCTTAAGAAGCTAAAGGACTTAGTGCTGACAGAAAACCCAGAAGTTGACAACTCTGAACGTGACAAGAGTATGATCAAGCACAGATCTCCTGTTATCCCAGATGATTTCCGATGCCCAATATCACTAGAACTGATGAAAGATCCTGTGATTGTCTCTACTGGCCAGGTACAACCCAAAAGATCTTTCACAAAGTACATCTTTGTCTATTGTGTTCATAGTAGTTGATGCTCTTATTGATCTTTGCAGACGTACGAAAGATCCTGTATTCAGAAATGGTTGGATGCGGGACACAAAACCTGTCCCAAAACACAGCAGACATTGTTGCACACAGCCATAACACCTAACTACGTTTTGAAGAGTCTAATTGCTTTGTGGTGTGAGAGCAATGGCGTTGAGCTGCCCAAAAAGCAAGGGAATGGTAAAAACAAAAAAGCAGGATGCAGTGTTTCAGACTGTGATCGTGCTTCTATTGCTTCCTTGTTAGAAAAACTAGCAAAAGGGAATTCAGAAGAACAAAGAGCAGCTGCTGGTGAGCTCCGCTTGCTGGCAAAGAGGAATGCAGATAATAGAGTGTGTATTGCTGAGGCAGGGGCCATTCCACTCCTTGTTGAGCTTTTATCCTCCTCGGATCCTCGGACACAAGAGCATGCTGTTACAGCACTTCTCAACCTTTCAATAAATGAGAGTAACAAGGGAGCAATTGTAAATGCAGGAGCGATACCTGATATAGTAGATGTTCTGAAAAATGGCAGCATGGAGGCTAGAGAAAATGCAGCTGCAACCCTTTTCAGTTTGTCTGTTGTAGATGAAAACAAGGTGGCAATTGGAGCTGCTGGGGCTATCCCATCCCTTATAAAACTGCTTTGTGAGGGGACTCCAAGAGGAAAAAAGGATGCTGCTACAGCTATTTTTAATCTCTCAATCTATCAGGGAAACAAGGCCAGAGCTATAAGGGCGGGTATTGTGGCCCCGTTAATGAGATTGCTGAAGGATGCAGGAAGTGGGATGGTGGATGAAGCGCTAGCAATCCTGGCAATTCTGGCTAGCCATCAAGAAGGGAAGATGGCAATTGCTCAGGCTGAGCCAATCTCTGTTTTGGTGGAAGTTATAAGAACTGGTTTCCCACGCAACCGGGAGAATGCTGCTGCTGTATTATGGTCATTATGCACAGGTGATATACAGCAGTTGAAACTAGCAAGGGAACTTGGTGCAGAAGAGGCCTTGAAGGAACTGTCAGAAAATGGCACTGACAGGGCCAAGAGAAAAGCTGGAAACGTTTTAGAGCAACTTCAACGAGTTGAAGATTCTATTGAGCTTTAAAAATCCTAGGGTCGTGGTTCTAATGCATTTCCTAGTACTATTATTAGGATGAAAAAGTGTAGTTTACAGATGTTCTGCAGATAAATCATTGTGTTACTTGTACGGTTCGTGTACTATACATTATATTATGGTGACTTAATTCGTGTTGATGTACAAAACAAAGGGATAAGTAGAGTATGTGGGCGGGTTTGGCTCACAATAGGTCTGCATATCAAGTCTTCAGGGTTGTATATTATTGAAGAGTTTCCATTATATAGAAATTATGAAAAAGGAAGCAAAAAGGAATCTTGATTCTCGAACAGCTTTTCCACAACAGTAGAATTGGTCTTCTGCCTTGCAATGGGAAAAGGCAGGTATGGTTTTCGTTTGGTTTTATTTGTTAAAACAAAGGTATGTTTTTTCCCCCTTTTTGGGGTAAAACGTGTTAGGTTTGTAAACCGGCATGTTTCATGCTTTTCAAACATTATTCATCTATCAAAAAACATCATCCAATTTTTTTATTTTTTTATTTTGGGTGAGTCAAATGATGTATTTGAAAAAAATAAAGAACGAACAAGTTGAGAGTAAGTATTAGTATGGATTCCGCTGTATATGCATACTCGTATATATATATCCAAACTTCAAAAAATTCAAGGACAAACTGAATTACTCCCTCTATATCGATATTTGGGACAACAAAAACAGGTTTGAATTAAGCAAGCAAAATTTTACACAAATAAAAATGTGTACTTTTTCAACAAACCATAGGATATTTACAATTTATTTATATATACAAGGGATCAATGCACCCACAACAATGTGAGTCTCGAGTCAAGTTGAGACAAACATCACTAGATTAAGGTTAGTTGGTGTATTATATGGAGATATGAGGTGGGTGCTAAATTACAAAAATAGATATGCAACAACAATGTCATCTCCCTCTTTAGAAGCTGACATAATTTTAAGTGAGGCTAACGGGAGCATGACATTTTTCAACCAGGAGAAGTATCACATTAATTGTATATTCTTTGCGGATCTAGAGTGTGTTTCCGTGAAGTGTGTACTACTTAAAGGTTCAATATATTCTATGACAGTCTATAGATGTCCCAACAACATGATTTCTCTAAACAATTATGGAGATTTGGTTGAAGCACAATGCCCCAGGTCTCGAGAAAGCTATGAAAATTTGACTAAAGCTGGGAGAAATTTAAGTGACTCTAAAAAATCTAAGCAAATGGGAAGTTTGTAATTTTATTATTATGATTTTTGGTTTTTGTTTTTGTATTGTTCCTTTATATGTTGATGCAATTTCTTCTCAACTTGACACCACGGCCAATTAGCTACTAGTGTTTCAAGTAACTATAAAATTAGAAATTTTTTAATAATCATAATGTGTACGGACATGACATGAGAGATGGAAAATTCTGCAAATAAATTAGTTAGCTCTTGCCGACACTGTAAGTTTATTCGGCTGGTTTGCTCACCAAAACTTTTAGCCAGCTAGATTTGGATTTTTCTTTGTGTGTGTGTGTGTGTGTGTGTTTTTTTTTCCCAACAAAATAAGCTTTTTCCGCTAGGAATAGTTTATGAAATCAACAGGAAATCTAGTCTAATTAGGATAATTAGAAATATGCCTTTAATGCCTAATTGAATTGGATTTCCAACACGCATTGGGTTTAGGACGTTGAGTTTACTTATATTTCTATATAAATAGGAACCAGTCCCTGAACTCCCATATTTTATATACTTTGTCGAAGATGATGGATGTCTTACCTACAGAAATTCTTATCGACATTCTTTCGAGACTGTCTGTAAATTCGGTTTGTTGCATCAGATGTGTATCTAAATACTTGTTTAAGACGGTTGACGACCTTTCTTTTGCCACACTGCACCTGCGGCGTTTACCTGATCTTCATCAAGTACCTCGACTTATTCGTCTTGTTGAAACTACCTTTGATGTACATAAGATGTACCCATTGAAATACGATGGCATTAACTTGACAAAGAGCAAGCATGCAATTGTTTCTGAATTCGTGTCCAGTCTGCGTTGGTATAAGCCTAGTTTTGTTTTCTACAACTTGTTTGGCTTTACTGGTCTTCATACGAAGAAAGGAAGGTCATGCTTGTTGGTGAATCCTTTCAAGGGAGAAGTTCTAATGCTCCCAACAACGAGTGACCTCCAAGTTCCAATCAACAGTCTATGCAATGGTGATACGTACGGCATGGGATTTGATAATATGACCAACACCTACAAGATTGTTCGTGTTTCTTGCCATGAAAAGGACATCAAAACCCAAATGGCGGCCGAAGTTTTTATATTGGGGACAAGCTCATGGCGGAAGTTACCCTCAGTTCCTCCTTGCCATCTAACCCAAAAGTCGGCATGTGCACATGGAGACATGCATTGGTTGGTTCGTGGAGATGACCACGACTCATCGTCTATACGTATACTTTCCTTTGACTTCAAGAAAGAGGAGTTCTATTGGACACCTCATCCCGCCACCTCACAGAAAATGCAGGATATGTTTGATTTTGTTAACCTGCTTAATTTCAGAGGTTCTTTGACCCTTGTGGATGCTTCTTCATCAGAAGATATGAAGATATGGGAATTGAAAAATTATGATAACAAAGAGTGGGTACTAAATTACAAAATAGATATGCAACAACATCCGTCTCTTCGTTATTTGAAGGGTACTCTTGTGATGTGTCGCACTCTTTTCTCTATATGTGGAGAATGGGAGCATGGCATATTTTTCAATCAGGATAACTTCGTATTGTTTTTGGATGTAACACGTGTTATCGTGAGTAGTGTACGGCTCAAAGGTTCTGCAGTCCATAGTTGTACGGACAGCATGATTTCTCTGAAGAAGTATGGAAATTTGGTTGAAGCAGAGCAAGATATTGAGAGCCCCATATCTGAAGAAAGTTATGAGAATCTGACTAAAACTGCAGAAGCAAGTGGGAGAGATGTGGTTTACTTGAGAACACAGATGGAGACCGCTTGTATTTCTTGAGATGCCAATTGCTAAGAATTCTAAGTTGTTTGTAATCTCTTTATCATGATTTTTTATTTTTATATGTATATACTACAGCGACTTAATCAGTCTTACTATCAAGCGGTATCCTTGATGACAGTCATATCAGAAATTCAGTGATCAAGTTCTGCAGAAATGCCGAGTAACACTGAAAATCAACTAACACGAGGACTCCTCTTATGTTATCAAGACGGCTTTAGGTTTGTGTTGCTTCAAAAGCATTACTTTTCAAATATTCCATAGGATTTCCATACCTAGCTAGATTTGGATTTTTTTTCTTTTCCGAACCAAATAAGTTTAATATGTTATAGATGGAATCTGCAGGAAATTCTTAAGAATGTATCCGTAATTAAAACAGAGTTTTTTTCAACTATATGTAAAAAAAAAACTAGCAAGTAAATCACTCCCTAGTAATAGGTTAAAAATATCAAAACAATTTCCCTCAGCCGTGCAAGATTATAATCATAAGTATCACTCCCTTTTCTGAAAAATAATATATATATATATATATATTAAGCTCTCTTTGCAAAATACACTTGGAAATATTAACATAACTATGACATATTCATAGTGTAGCATATTTGTTTTATTAATAATGCATGGTCATCATCAGCCGTAACTAATTCTATAGCATGTATGGTTAACCCATCTCCTCATTATTAATAAATATTCACTTATATGATAACAAGTGGAGGAGTTATACTCACTATCGAAAAAGGCTATATTAAGTATAATTAGGACCATATATACTTGAGATTCATATGTCTAAGTGTAGGCTTTCCAAGTTTGACGAATGGAAGCACGGCATATTTTTCCACCATGAGGATAAAGATCCCTATAGGACAAGTATACTCTTTGTGGATCTAACACATATTTCCATGAAGAGTGTACTACTCAAAGATGGATTTAGCACGGTCTATACTCTATAGTTGTACTGACATCATGATTTCTCTAAAGAAGTATGGAGATTTGGTTTTAGTAGAAGAACAAAGGTACTCAAAGGTTAATCTTGATAATTAAGCACAAAGGCTTCAGTTTTCCACTAGTCGCAAGAGGAAGGTTGTGATCTTATTATTATTATTATCTTTAAATGTATAGAGAAAAATGTGAACTTCTAAACTCTAGTAACATTGAGCTCTCTTTCAATTTTTAGCGCCACACGGCTAAATGGTTACTGGTGTTTCAAGTAATGAAAAAAGATAATTAGAATACAGTGTTTAATATAAAATCAAAATGAGCACACACCATACTGCTGCTGTTTTTGTTTTTTTAGCAACATAATATGACATAAAAAATTCACATCATCAATTAGCTAGCTCTTGCCGACACTACTCAATGCAGCTTACTTCCCCACAAATAAAACAAGCAAAATTTTACAAGTCAATCCGGCTTACTTCCCCACAAATGTTTCAGTGAAGGTACGGCCACTGGCAATTTTCGTAGTCCCGATTATCAAATCGTACGCCATCCCTTCCTGCAATATCCAAATTACCATGGGCATTAGGAATTAGGATAATATGCAGACAACAGAAGGGATAACAATAGAAATATCTGGATAACCATCCATCCCTGACACATGGGCAAAATAAAACAGTTGCATAGATGAAATCTATGACATTTTATACGTGCAAAACAATTAACATACCTGAGCACTGAGAAATCGTAGAGCAGAAATCTCCGCAAACGTTACACCTCCGATGAAGACGACAAGTACTAGGGAGCGCCTTCCATCAACTACCCTGAGATGTATAAAGGAATGTCACAATGAAGTCTATACGCTACATTAGCAAATAACCAATCAAAATTTTACTGTAAATTGCTTTTCATCAATCTACAAATGTTAATGACATGTATCTAAACAACCCAGCGAAAGAATGTCACTGGGTATCAACAAAGGCAGTACTGAGAACAGAATCTTATAAACTAGAACCAGTTGGCACATACTTGTCTACATTGGCTGAAGGCCCCTGCAAAGTGTCCAAAGAT